CACTCAGCAACAACATCCGATTGTGTTTACGCTAATTCTATATACACAATTTTATAGAAATAATCCGAACACACGGATACTCTTTGGACTTACATTAAAAGAGAGCAATAGCTGAAAGCAAAATAAATGGTAGACAATAGTTGCTGAACTGTTCAGTAACAACATGAAGGCAAAACTTAGCAAAGGGACACTGTATATGACTTTACCAAATATAGCTAAATATACATTTGAGGAACAAACTATAAGTGGCAATCTTCCCCACAATGGAAAAGGCATTAGTTATGTATTGTTTGCATTATTGATTGCAGTAGAAGTACTGCATTTTATACAACTACATACGAGGTCAGTGGGCTACAGGTCTAGCCTAGCTAAATTTTTATCTCTGAATATAACACTGTGAGAAATACCTAGCTGTGACAAATAATACCTTTGGTTATTTGTACTTGAATTTACATCACTAATACAGAGTACTAGAAATGTTTAAACTTCCGAAGTGTTAGGATCCTAATAAATGCGAGTGCTAAGAACTACATAACAAGTTTTAGTTATAATGGCCTCTATGCCAACCTGCACAGTCAGGAATTGTCTAACAATAGAGGCTCTGTAGTCTTTAGTCTTGGTCTAGTATAAAAGCACAGGTGACAGCAGTAAGCCAACAAGCAGAATCAGCTTCAGCTTTTCCTTTGTGGAAATACTGAGGATCAGCCATCGCAACCATGAAGGTAAACCTTATTCCAGCACCCATTTCCACAAAGTTTAACTTCAAAATATTTGTTTGGTTTATTTCACTTTACATCATGAAAATATTAAATTTGAATTTTCAGGTCACTTTCTTTGAGGACAGGAACTTCCAGGGTCGCTCTTATGACTGTATGGGCGACTGTGGTGACTTCTCCTCCTACATGAGCCGCTGTCACTCTTGCAGAGTGGAGAGTGGATGCTGGATGATGTACGATAATCCCAACTACATGGGAAATCAGTATTTCTTTAGAAAGGGAGACTATGCTGATTACATGTCTATGTTTGGAATGAGCAACTGCATCAGGTCCTGCCGTATGATCCCTATGGTGAGTTCAATCTAAGCTTACTTAACTTACATATAAACAAAGAGATTTATCTTTAAAAATTTTTGGCTGATAAAGTTAAACTAAAATGACTTCTTTTCCACTACAGCACAGGGGATCCTATAGAATGAGGATCTACGAGAGGGAGAACTTCATGGGTCAGATGCATGAGATGATGGATGACTGTGACAACTGCATGGACCGTTACCGCATGCCTCACTGCCAGTCCTGCAATGTGATGGACGGCCACTGGCTCATGTATGAGCAGCCCCAATACCGAGGCAGAATGTGGCACTTCAGGCCTGGAGAGTACAGGAGCTTCAGCAATATGGGTGGCATGAGATTCATGAGCATGAGGCGCATCATGGACTCCTGGTACTAGAGTTCTAGTGTTTTAATAAAATATTTTCTTTACAAAAGCAAACATTGTGTAGTGAAAATGAGTATTCTACAAAATCACACTTAAAATAAAACAATTTATGTTCTGAAGGCTAATACACATTTTATGGTTACTTTTTCATAGTAATTGTTATTAACTCTTTCCCAGCCATTGACGTAACTGATTCTGTCATTTATAAAACAACGCTTTCCCTCCATTGACAGAATTTTCAGACTTTGTGTTTTATATAGTTATACCAAAGTTATATGGTAGGGGGCGCTATTACACATCTACTGAAAGAGTACAGAATCTCCTGATCAATACACAGGCGAAGAAGCAGAAACAAGCGATAGTGTATATAAGCAGATGCATATGTAAAATAAAGTGATCATCAAACATTAAACAGCATGCAAATTGAAACTGCCTAAATTTACCAAGGGTTTTAATCAAATAATTTCTCTACAGAACTCAACATTGTGTTCTGAAAATAATGAATGCCACTACAACTACAGCAGCCCACAAAAAACAACAACACAAGTTTAAGAAATGACAGTCAATGCTACCCCTCTTATCCCCTAAAAAACGTGCACCTGGTAGAAGACAATGGAGACTAAAAGAGTCAACCTATTTTCTCAAATTAAAGTTCATACTGTATGCTGAAGCATAAAAACAGACTCCAACCAGTTTTAAATATGCCTCTGTAACAGGCACACTGTCATCTTTGCAAATGTAATAAAACCGTTCATAACTTATTTGGTTCGCTCTGTGTGACTTCTTTAGAACAAAGTCATTGGCTAGCCATGAAATTTGTGTTTGAATATGCTACATTCAATTTTCTAAATCGAAATTAGAACTTAGAACTTGAACCTGGATAAGGGCATGAATTGCAAGCTTTCACATTAACATTACCTATCACATCAACATGTCACACACTGGTAACAATCCAACAGACACTTTGAGCTAATCCAAATCTAAATTGATTACTGCCATTATATTTTTCTTAGTGTTTTTTTATAAGAATATATTGACAGACTATCTCTATCATGTGTGGAGAGAGTTGTTGCAGAGCAGCATCAGGAAATAGTTATGAACCACATTACTAAGCCAATTATCAAAGGTTAATGTCATGTGGGTAGTAGTTGTTTATTAGAGGCACGAAATGCAGAGTCTCATTAAAATGTATTTGAAATTAAAATAACAGCTGATAAATTTAAATATTGTTTTACTCAGTTTACCAAATAATGTGCATAACTCAGATGTATATAAATTAAAAAATTATTTTTTATGATTTTCTTTCATACATGGTAGCCCAGATGAGTTGCAATCACTGTGGCCGACAGCATTAAGGGTGTTCTCATTACGAAAATGACCAACGAGAATGGAAACGTTAAAAGATGCCACAATTTGCCTCCATCCAAAATGCAGCCTGCCAAAAAAGGTTTGAGAGAGGCTAAATGAAAGTTGCTTCCTTCTACATACAGCCAATCATTTTCAAAGCAACTAATCTTGCCAATTAGCTTTCAGCTTCAGTTTAGTGAGTCATTAAATCTGCTAGTGGTTACACTAAACCAAAACAAAACAAAACAGAACAAATTAGACTGAACAATGGGGCTAAATATACATTTTCCTTTCTCTAAACATAGGTGAGAAGGTGTTCGATTAGGCTCTCCATTGTAAAAATTCTTAAAATGTTCAAAGTCTCTATAACAGGGTTTCTGCAGGTTTTATGAAGGTAAAATTAAGACTTTTTAAAAACTATTTTAAGACCAAGTAAAGAAAATTTAAGGAATTAATAAAAGGGAACACAATACGTCAATATGTCTTCTTAATGTAAATGCCTAGGAAGCACACAATGAGTTGTATTAGCAACACTTCAGCACTCTGAAAATACAACTTCCAACCAATCTCCATTTCTTTCTAGATTACAAAAAAGTATCCTGAATTTTTTACTTAATTCTTTTATAATGTTTTACTAGTTTGATCAAGACGATTTACATATCTGTAATGAGGGGAACATAAGCTGCATCTTAAATAATTCCTGTTTTCACCACCAACCCCAAAAACTGGCATTTGTTACGTGTCATTTAGCGTTACAGACTGGCTACTCACTAGGTTTTGTCTCTTATACTCTGATCCCAAAATCAAGGACAGAGCTAAGGATACAGGTTCAAAGTCACTAAGAATGATTCCAAAATGCATGCTCATAAAAACACAAAAACAAACCAAATTCATATAACCATAAGTTCTCAATCTAAAACATGATAAAAATACAAATTTAGGCTGTATACAGGCACAATTTTATTCTCCTACTCAAATGCTAGGAACTGCATGGTCAAGTTAGTTTGATATAGGCAGCAAAGGATACATCCTACGCTGTTATCAAAAATCAATCAGATGAAGGTATCTCAGCAGACAGAATGTGACACGATCGTTGGAATTCACAATCATTAGTATTTCAATAACAGTTTACATTAACATTATATAATGTTCATGTTTAAATGATGCATTAAGAATGATGGGAGCATTTTACAATTACCATATATTAAATATTGTTCACTGTTATTTCATGATATCTAAAGCATAACCTAACGTTAACAAAGTGAGCAATATAGTAAAGTATTATCAGCTTTTCTTAAGAGTTTATCTAATTCACATTCTTTTTGACCAATGTACTTGTATTATTCTAATAAATTTGAGTACTAAGATCAACATACCAAGCTATAGCTAGAATGGCCTCTGTTACAACTTGCACAGTCAGGAATTGACTAACAATAGAGGCTGTGTAGTCTTTAGTCTTGGTCTAGTATAAAGTTAGGGGTGACAGCAGTCAGACAACAAGCAGAATCAGCTTCAGCTTCTACCCTGTGGAACTACTGAGAATCAACCAGCGCAACCATGAAGGTAAACCTCATTCCAGCACCCATTTCCACAAAGTTGAACTTCTAAATGTTTGATTTGGTATCTCTCGCTTTAAGTCGCTAAAATATTAAATTTGAATTTTCAGGTCACTTTCTTTGAGGACAGGAACTTCCAGGGTCGCTCTTATGACTGTATGGGCGACTGTGGCGACTTCTCCTCCTACATGAGCCGCTGTCACTCTTGCAGAGTGGAGAGTGGATGCTGGATGATGTACGATAATCCCAACTACATGGGAAATCAGTATTTCTTTAGAAAGGGAGACTATGCTGATTACATGTCTATGTTTGGAATGAGCAACTGCATCAGGTCTTGCCGTATGATCCCTATGGTGAGTTCAATCTAAGCTTACTTAAAATTAGAAATAAACAAAGAGATATATCTTTAACATTTTTTGACTGATAAAGTTAAACTAAAAGGACTTCTTTTCCACTACAGCACAGGGGATCCTACAGAATGAGGATCCACGAGAGGGAGAACTTCATGGGTCAGATGCATGAGATGATGGATGACTGTGACAACTGCATGGACCGTTACCGCATGCCTCACTGCCAGTCCTGCCATGTGATGGACGGCCACTGGCTCATGTATGAGCAGCCCCAATACAGAGGCAGGATGTGGCACTTCAGGCCTGGAGAGTACAGGAGCTTCAGCAATATGGGTGGCATGAGATTCATGAGCATGAGGCGTATCATGGACTCCTGGTACTAGAGTTCTAGTGTTTCAATAAAATATTCTCTCTACAAAAGCAAACATTGTGTAGTGAAAATTAGTATTCTACAAAATCACACTTAAAATAAAACAATTTACATTCTGAAGGCTAATACACATTTCATGGTTACTTTTTCATAATAATTGTTATTAACTCTTTCCCCGCCATTGATATCATTTTCTGTCATTTATAAGACAATGCTTTCCCTCCATTGACAGAATTTTCTGACTTTGTGATTTATATAGTTATACCACAGTTATATGGTAGGGGGCGCTATTACACATCTACTGAAAGAGTACAGAATCTCCTGATCAAAACACAGGCGAAGAAGCAGAAACAAGCGATAGTGTATATAAGCAGATGCATATGTAAAATAACGTGATCATCAAACATTAAACACCATGCAAATCGAAAATGCCTAAAGTTACCAGGGGTTTTAATAAAATAATTTCTCTACAGAACTCAACATTGTGTTCTGAAAATAATGAATGCCACTACAACTACAGTAGCCCACAAAAAACAACAACACAAGTTTAAGAAATAACAGTCAATGCTACCCCTCTTATCCCCTAAAAAAAGTGCACCTGGTAGAAGACAATGGAGACTAGAAGAGTCAACCTATTTTCTCAAATTAAAGTTCATACTGTATGCTGAAGCATAAAAACAGACTCCAACCAGTTTTAAATATGCCTCTGTAACAGGCACACTGTCATCGTTGCAAATGTTCTAAAATCGTTCATAACTTATTTGGTTCACTCTGTGTGATTTCATTAGAACAAAGTCATTGGTTAGCCATGAAATTTGTGTTTGAATATGCTACATTCAATTTTCTAAATCGAAATTAGAACTTAGAACTTGAACCTGGATAAGGGCATGAATTGCAAGCTTTCACATTAACATTACCTATCACATCAACATGTCACACACTGGTGACAATCCAACAGATACTTTGAGCTAATCCAAATCTAAATTGATTACTGCCATTATATTTTTCTTAGTGTTTTTTTATAAAAATATATTGACAGACTATCTCTATCATGTGTGGAGAGAGTTGTTGCAGAGCAGCATCAGGAAATAGTTATGAACCACATTACTAAGCCAATTATCAAAGGTTAATGTCACGTGGGTAGTAGTTGTTTAATAGAGGCACGAAATGCAGAGCCTCATTAAAATGTATTTGAAATGAAAATAACAGCTGATAAATTTAAATATTGTTTTACTCAGTTTACCAAATAATGTGCATAACTCAGATGTATATAAATGTAAAATTTATTTTTTATAATTTTCTTTCATACATGGTAGCCCAGATGAGATGCAATCACTGTGGCCGACAGCATTAAGGGTGTTCTCATTACGAAAATGACCAATGAGAATGGAAACATTAAAAGATGCCACAATTTTTCTCCATCCAAAATACAGCCAGCCAAAAAAGGTTTGAGAGAGGCTAAATTAAAGTTGATTCCTTCTACATACTGTATATCCAATCATTTTCAAAGCAACTAATCTTGCCAATTAGCTTTCAGCTTCAGTTTAGTGAGTCATTAAATCTGCTAGTGGTTACACTAAACCAAAACAAAACAGAACAGAACAAATTAGACTGAACAATGGGGCTAAACATACATTTTCCTTTCTCTAAACATAGGTGAGAAGGTGTTCGATTAGGTTCTCCATTGTAAAAATTCTTAAAATGTTCAAAATCTCTATAACAGGGTTTCTGCAGGTTATATGAAGGTAAAATTAAGACTTTTTAAAAACTATTTTAAGACCAAGTAAAGAAAATTTAGGGAATTAATAAAAGGGAACACAATACGTCAATATGTCTTCTTAATGTAAATGCCTAGGAAGCACACAATGAGTTGTATTAGCAACACTTCAACACTCTGAAAATACAACTTCCAACCAATCTCCATTTCTTTCTAGATTACAAAAAAGTATCCCGAATTTTTTACTTAATTCTTTTATAATGTTTTACTAGTTTGATCAAGACGATTTACATATCTGTAATGAGGGGAACATAAGCTGCATCTTAAATAATTCCTGTTTTCATCACCAACCCCAAAAACTGGCATTTGTTACGTGTCATTTAGCGTTACAGACTGGCTACTCAATAGGTTTTGTCTCTTATACTCTGATCCCAAAATCAAGGACAGAGCTAAGGATACAGGTTCAAAATCACTAAGAATGATTCCAAAATGCATGCTCATAAAAACACAAAAACAAACCAAATTCATATAACCATAAGTTCTCAATCTAAAAAATGATAAAAATACAAACTTAGGCTGTATTCAGATACAATTTTATTCTCCTACTCAAATGCTAGGAACTGCATGGTCAAGTTAGTTTGATATAGAAAGCAAAGGATACATCCTACGCTGTTATCAAAAATCAATCAGATGAAGGTATCTCAGCAGACAGAATGTGACACGATCGCTGGAATTCAGAATCATTAGTATTTCAATAACGGTTTACATTAACATTATATAATGTTCATGTTTGAATGATGCATTAATATTGATGGGAGATTAAATATTGCCATAGATTAAATATTGTTCATTGTTATTTCATGATATCTAAAGCATAAGCTAATGTTAACAAATTGAGCAATGTTGTAAAGTATTATCAGCATTTCTTAAGAGTTTATCTAATTCACATTCTTTTTGACCAATTTATTTGTATTGTTCTAATATTTTTGAGTACTAAGATCAACATACACTCTTAAAAATAAAGGTGTTTCACGATGCCATAGAAGAACCTTTTTGTCTAAATGGTTCCATAAAGAACCTTTAACATATGAAGAACCTTTCTATTTCACAAAAGGTTTTTGTGGCGAAAGAAGGTTCTTCAGATTATAAAAAGATATGAAAGAGATGGTTCTTTCAAGAACCTGTCAAAACTACTGACAGGTAAAGTGAATAACATTGATTATACAATGGCACCTGTCAAGGGGTGGGATATTTTAGGCAGAAAGTGGAAAGTCACTTCTTGAATTTCATGTGTTGGAAGCAGGAAAAATGGGCAACTGAAAAGATCTGAGTGAAGATCCGAGTGACAAGGGCCAAATAGTGATGGCTAGACGACTTGGGGGTGTTCCCATTATGCAGTAACTAGTACCTACCAAACGTGGTGCAAGAAAGGACAACCGGTAAACTGGCATCCGGGGTCATAGGCGCCCAAGGATAAGTGATGTGTGTAAAGAGTGAAGACGAGCCCATCAGGTCTGACCACACAAAAGAGCTACTGTAGCTCAAACTCCTGAAAAACTTAATATGCTGGCCATGATAGAAAGGTGTCACACAGTGCATCGGAGTTAGTTGCCAATGGGACTGCATAGCAGCAGATGGTCAGAGTGCCCATGATGAACTCTGTCCACTGCCAAAGGCACCTACAATGGGTACATGAACATCACAACTAGCATGGAGCAATGGAAGAAGGTTGCCTAGTCTAATGAATCACATTTTCATTTAGATCAGGCATGTGTGTGTTGTTTACCTGGGGAAGAAATGGCAGCGGGATGTATATGGGACGAAGGTAGGCCAATGGAGGCAGTGATATGCTTTGGGCAATGTTCTGCTGGGAAACCTTGGGTCCTGGCATTCATATGGATGTTACTTTGACACATACCACCTACCTAAAGATTGTTGCAGACAATGTACATCCCTTCATGGAAATGGTGTTTCCTGATGGCAGTGGCTTCTTTCAGAAGGATAATGTACCCTGCTACACTGCAAAAAATTGTTCACAAATTATTTGGCCTGAAAATCCCACATATCAGTGTCTTCTCAACATGATGTAAACACACTAACTAGTCTCTACACACACACTAAAATAATTTCTCTACAGAACTCAACATTGTGTTCTGAAAATAATTAATGCCACTACAACTACAGTAGCCCACTAAAAACAACAACACAAGTTTAAGAAATGACAGAGTCAATGCTACCCCTCTTATCCCCTAAAAAAGTGCACCTGGTAGAAGACAAGAGACTATAAGAGTCAACCTATTTTCTCAAATTAAAGTTCATACTGTATGCTGAAGCATAAAAACAGACTTTAAATATGTCTTTAAATATGCCTCTGTAACAGGCACACTGCCATCTTTGCAAATGTACTAAAATCGTTCATAACTTATTTGGTTCACTCTGTGTGACTTCTTTAGAACAAAGTCATCGTTAGTCATGAAATTTGTGTTTGAACATGCTACATTCAATTTTCTAAATCAAAATTAGAACTTGAACCTGGATAAGGGCATGAATTGCAAGCTTTCACATTAACATTACCTATCACATCAACATGTCACACACTGGTGACAATCCAACAGATACTTTGAGCTAATCCAAATCTAAATTGATTACTGCCATTATATTTTTCTTTGTGTTTTTTATAAGAATATATTGACAGACTATCTCTATCATGTGTGGAGAGAGTTGTTGCAGAGCAGCATCAGGAATTAGTTATGAACCACATTACTAAGCCAATTATCAAAGGTTAATGTCATGTGGGTAGTAGTTGTTTATTAGAGGCACGAAATGCAGAGCCTCATTAAAATGTATTTGAAATGAAAATAACAGCTGATAAATTTAAATATTGTTTTACTCAGTTTACCAAATAACGTGCATAACTCAGATGTATATAAATTAAAAATGTATTTTTTATCATTTTCTTTCATACATGGTAGCCCAGATGAGATGCAATCACTGTGGCCGACAGCATTAAGGGTGTTCTCATTACAGTTCATGTTTAAATGATGCATTAAGAATGATGGGAGCATTTTACAATTACCATAGATTAAATATTGTTCACTGTTACTTCATGATATCTAAAGCATAACCTAATGTTAACAAATTGAGCAATATAGTAAAGTATTATCAGCTTTTCTTAAGAGTTTATCTAATTCACATTCTTTTTGACCAATGTACTTGTATTGTTCTAATAAATTTCAGTACTAAGAACAACATACCAAGCTTTAGCTAGAATGGCCTGTTACAACTTGCACAGTCAGGAAT